TTAATTTAAAGCCAAATCTATAGGAATAATAAAAAAAAAAACATGCTAGTGGCACAAAGACAAATAATAAGAGGAAACAACAGAATGGAGAACCCAGAAATAAACCTTTGTGTCCATGACCAAAATTATGTTCCTCAAGATTGCAATGACCATGCAATGAAAGAGAAGAATCCCTTAAAAGAATGTTGTAGAAATTGATTATTTATGAGAGGAAAACATGATGTTGGTACCTTCCCTTGCACTATATAGAATATATCTTAAATAAATTAAATACTTAAACATAAGAAATACATATATAAAACTCTTAGAGAAAATATAAGGAAAACATCATGATATTGGTCCTCGTACTGTTTTAGTAGATGTAACATCAAATGCATAATCAAGAAAAAGGAAGAGAAGAAAAATGGGAATGTATCACACTTCAAATGTTTCGCAGAAATGAAAACTTAGTGGAGTAAAAATGCCTCCTACAAAATGGGTTAAAATAGATGCAAATCAAATATTTGATAGAAGTTAACATCTTTAATGAAAAAACACTGATTAAAATTGAAAAACAAAGGGGAATAGCTTGACTAACAAATGGACAATAGATTGATCTGACATTTCTGCAAAGAAGATATACTAATAGCCAAACATAACTTGAAAGCATCCTAAGAATTGTTAATCTTTAGAGAAATGCAAACAACATCACAATGAGATATCACCTCACATCCATTATATTGAGAACATTTAAGTAAATAAAATCATATGCAAATACATACATATGGTGAGAATGTAGAGACACTGAAATGCTGCCATGTTATTCTGAGCCTTTGATTCTAAAAATTATAAAAATTGAAATACAACAGATCACAAATTTAAAATATATAAGGAGAGCAAATCAGCTATATGGTGGGAGGGGAAGGATCCACTTGTTTTTTTCCCCAAAGAACAAAAAAATTTGGCAGCCATCCATGGAAAATTACAATTATCTGAATTTAAGGACTTAAATGGAAGGTCGTTAAACTCTAGTGGAACCATAGATCTGGAAGAGTCATTTAGAATATTCAGGCTCTCATCCAGCTGAGAAACTTAAGGACCCATTGTCCTGAATACAGACTGCAACATGGGTCAACCATCTTGGATACACAGAGTCTCTGATGGTTCCCTGTGACAAAGTTGGAGTGGTGCTGCTCATCTAGAGACTTTGGGAAAGACACAGCTATCTGCAGCCATGGAGGCAGACCTGAATAACTTGGTCTTGCTATCATCTCTAAAGCAGACTGTGACGCTGCTACAGCAGTCTGAACTATACTCCATGTCTAGTTCTTTCAGTGCATAGATCCACACAGTGACCTGCAGGGACTCTTCCAAGGTCCTCGTTGAGAGCCACACCCAACCACATATAGTATTAGCCCTAAAATATGCAGACTGAAATGCACAACCATGCCCTAGTATGTGTCATACAGATTCAAATCCTGAAGGCAACCAATTTACCCAGAAACCAGAGAGGATTGAAAACCACCCAAGCTCTTTGGAATTGGCCCACTAAATGCAGACTCCACTGCAGAGCAAGGGGCAGTCTTGTGTCCTAGCTACAGAAACTCAACATTGAAAACCTAGAGGAGATACCTTTAGCCCAAGAAATCAAAAGAAAAAAATCTTTACCTTTCAAAACCAATTTATACAATCTGGGAAAAGTATTTAATCCTTCACATGCACAAATACCAATATAAGGATAATGTCCAACCTCTCTTAATGCTTCTATTCTATATTACTTCAAGACTTAAGCACAAAAATTAGGCAAGAACATGACCAGATCCACTCAAATTAGAAAGCAAAAGTAAAAATAACACCATTTGCAGATGAAATTATCTTATATTTAAAAAAATATCAAGATAGGAAGAAATCTTTATAAAGTAATAAAACCCCAGTTAAGTCACAGGATGTAAAATTCACATACAGATATCAGTTGCTTTTCTATACACTAATAAAGTAGACAATAAAAAAGGAAAACATTCTCATATACTATACCATCAAGATAATAGATTCCTAAGAAATATATTTAACCAAAGTGGTTTTAAAATACCCTTTACACTGAGTATTATAAAATATTAATAAAATAAATTGAAGATGAGATGAATAAATAGAAAGATATTATACAAAACAGTGTATACATTCAATGTACTCCCTATCAAATTCCAGGGGCATTACTTGACAGTATTAACCAAAAAATCCTAATATTTGTATGATATCACAAATACCATTGAGAAGCCTTATGCAATAATGAGAAAGAAGAAAAAAAGTTCCAGTATCAAACTTTCAGTTTTCAAACTACATTTTAAGGTGGGAGTAATAAAAACAGCAAAATGTGTGCATAAAAACCAACAGAAATAACAATGGAAGAGAATGGAGAGCTCCAAAATAAAACAAAACATAAGGTCAAGTAACATTTATCTAGGCACTACCATTTCACAATGCAGAAAGAATGGCTCTTGAATGCTTGGTGCTGGAAAACTAGATACCCAAAAACAAATGAATAAAAGCAAACTATTTTTGCTTATATGATACCCAAAAACTAACTCCAGATGTAATAAAGATTTAAATGGAAGACATAAAACTGTAATGTTTCTAAAAAAAATAGTATAAAGCAAAGAAAAAATTATGGAAAAACCTTGACATAAGACTTGCAATTTTCTCTTTTTTTTTTTTTTTTTGGATATGAAACAATGTGCAATGGAACAAAATCTGAACAATTTTGGCTGCACCAAACTTAAAATCCTCTCCACAGCAAGGAAAAAAAACAAAATAAGAAAACATATAGGATGGCAGAAAATATTTTCAAAGTTTATATGGTATAATATGTTAAAACCCAAAATATATAGTAACCTCATAGTTTTCAAATGCAAAACAATGTCATCACACACTTAAAAATAAGCTAAAATTTATGTCGATTATTTCCAAAGAAAACATACCAGTTTACAACAGGAAACATGAAAAGTAACTCACCATCACCAAAACATCATGTAAACACAAATGAAAACTATGATAAGGTATCCCTTCCCAACTGTTAAAATGGCTAATGTCCAAAACAAGAGACATAATACGTGAGGACAAGAGTGTGCAGGAAATCGATCCCTGTAGACTGTTATTGATTGTAAATGGATAGTGTCAACGTAGAGATTTGTTAAAAAATGTAAATACTACAACTGCCTTATCATTCACCAATTCTACCTATGAGCATAACCATGTAAAATCAGTATCTTAAGAGGTTCTGCACCCCCATATATATCGCAGCATTATGCATGTTTGCCAAGAAAATGGAAACAAACTAAATGCCTGCTTATGATGAATACACTAAAAAATGACTGTACAAACAAATACCATATAATATTACTAAGCCATGAAAATGATAAATATCCTGCCATTTCAACAACATGGATGGACATAGGAGGCATTATGCTAAGTAAAATCAGCCATTCCCAGAAAGATAAATACTGCTATGGATAAATTTTTTTAAAGTTGAATTTACAAAAATAAAGAGTACCACAGTGGTTTCCAGTATGTGAAGTCAGGAAAAGTGAGATGTTTAAGAGTACAATCTTTCAGTTATAAGATGAATAGATCTTGGAGATCTAATGTATGGCATCATGATTAGAGTTATTAATAATGTTTTACATGCTTAAAATTCGTTTAGACCATAGAACTCACTATTAATAAATGTTCTTACTATAATTAAATGGTAAATATGTGAGATGATAGATATGTTTATTACCTTAATTTTATTATTTTACCATTTATACACACATCAGATCACTACAGTGTGTACAATAAATATATACAGTTATACAATTCTTATTTGTGGAAACTTCCCCCGTTAAACATCCCACATACAGAAATATATGCACACACACACACACACATATAAGTGACACATTTCTGATGCTACTAAATAGGGGGAAATTATGGAACATAAGTTATCAGAGTATTATATATCAATTGGGAGTATAAATATATTCAATTACTTGAAGCCCTCAATGAGACATATTTAAGAATAAGACATATTTAAGAATTCTATAAGGTGAGCAGGGAAAATAAACTATATTATAGTTTGGGAATTTTGGTATAATAAAGTTGAAAAATTACTCTTATTTTATACTAGAAAAAGAGTAAGTAGAAGTGAAATAACATTAGATTTTCTTACATTTAGGAAGAGGCTATGAATTTATATACAATTAGTAAGTCTGACTTTCTGTAGGATTGCCTCTTAAAACTTAGAATTGAAAATCAGGATGCATAAAATATGAATATCTGTTCCTAGTGTTTCTGGCATTACAGAAAAAAATCCCAATACTGCACTATTCCCCTTTACACATTTCAGAAATGAGGCATCAAAAGGAACTTAAAACATGGTACTGGACAGGGAGGATAACATCTATAATCCCAGGAATTTGGGAGGCCAAGGAAGAAGGATCACTTGAGGCCAGGATCCTAATACCAGATCTAGCAACATGAGGGGACTCCATTTTTATAAGAAAATAATAATAACAAAATGGTAGCTCATGCCCATAGATCTAGTTACTTGGAAGACAGAGGTTGTAGGATCTCTGGAGCCCATAGGTTTGAGGTTGCAGTGAGCTATGATCAGCCACTGCAACCAGAAAGGTCAGGAAAGCAAAACCCTGTCAAAAGATGGTTTAATCTACAGGTCTTCAAAGTATGTATAGATGGTTCCACAACCCCTAAACAATATAAATGCTGATAGATAATGTAGTTCCTTGTAAGCCATGACAAGAAGTTTGGCTCTCTCTGAATTCTAAGGAAGATCACTGCATGGGTAGAGTTATTAGGGAGTTTAAAAGCTTGGTACAGAAGATGTCCTTCTGGAAGATAAAGAGAAACATACAGTCTTCTAAATATCATTTCCAATGGAATATTCCAAGCCACTTTTTAATATCTGTCTTCCTCCTTGAGCTTTGGCTCTCTAACATTTGTTATATGCTTCACTGAATCTCACGTACCTGGAAATTGAGCTGTTGTTTCCTCTTTCTTCTTAATCCAGGGCTCTATCCTTTGCTCCAAACATGTGATCAGCTCTGGCTTTGAAATGGCAAGACCTGTTTTATTAGAAAAATTTCACATGACTCTTGCTGAAGACTTTCCAATTCCTAATGCAGTACTAACCTTAGTACAGAGAACATTATAGAAGATTCTAGAAAATTCCTCTGCAAGATACCATTTTCTCACAGACCCTGTAGAATGATAAAAAATTATTTCTAATTTATGACTAGAGCACCAATTCCCACTAGCACCAAATAAATAAGAGGTGGAAATTCTATTCTAAGGTGTAGGCAACACTTGTATAGGGTACACCAGTAATCTGATTTCTAGAGTAACCGCTAATCTAGTGTGAAATATACATATTGGCCCAAGAAAGGGAAAGGTGCAAGATAACATGAGACATCTAATGATTTTATTTTACAGAACAACAATCTTCAAATTTTCTGTAAAACATGGATAAAAAATTCATTCATGTAAAGTAGAAACTTTTAAGAAACTATCTACAAAAATAAAATAATGACCTTAATGTGGAAAAGGAATTCTGTATAAATGTGATCCTCACCAAGGGAGACCAGGTTTCCATAGTTCTCCAACATCACCTCCCTATACAAATTCCGTTGAGCATCGTCAAGGCATGCCCACTCCTCTGGAGAGAATTCTACAGCCACATCCCTGAATGTCACCATCTCCTGTAAAAAGACACATATTTCCCAAGTGGCCATAGAGAGAGTTCTTAACTTGACTACAAGGAAAATGAGTTATGAGAACTGTTTCTGACATATGAGTGACTGGAATTATCCAATAAGATAATTTTTAGCACATTGATATTATTGAACATATTCTCTTATCTGCTGGAATGAAGATCACAAAAGATGTATGAAACTGTGTGCATATGATTATGCTTTGGATGATAAATTATTGAATACAAATTTAAGGGCCTTACTACAGTAATATAAATTTATGTGTGTTACATTTACATCACATTAATAAATTGTGCATATTTCTCACATAAAAAGAAACTTAGAGAGTTAGAAGGTATCACCTAATTTTTACGAGTACAATGAAGAATTAGAGATTTTGTTAAAATACAGATTCTGATTCAGGTGATCTGGGATGGGGCCTGAATCTCTGCATCATATGATATAACTGCTGATATCAATGCTTCTTGCCTAAGGGAAGTATTTTGTAAGGATGCAGTAAATGGTAGACTTTGAATGTATCGCAGTTCATCTGAACAGAAACAGATGACAGCCCTCATTTTTTAAAGCAAGCTATAAGAAGAAAGGGGAGCTTCCAGATTAAATGTGATGGTTGATTCACAACAGTCAGTGAATCTCCACGAGACGCTTAATGATAAAAAAAAAAAAAATTAACTTTATATTGGAGGAATCTGTCAGAGAGCATCTTAGGCAAGTGAATGAAATTAACATAACTTTCATGGGACAAATTGGTGTTAGGTACCATTGAAAAGAGGAGGAAACAAAATCACTGCTGGCATGGCAGTGCCAACAATATGTAATCATGAGGAATCATCAGTTTTATGCAAATTTCAGACACAGATTCTTCCCATTTGTTGTGATCTTTAATGATGTATGTAAATACTTTAGCATCATACAGAGCAAGTCTTCTATTTTCTGTTTTTTCCATGATTTTCTGATTATCCTAGGCAATCAATGCTATCCTCTTCCTGAATTCTCCTAATAATATTTTACATAGAGCTGATCAAGCAGCCAGATAAAACTTTGAGAGCACATGTTCCCCCTCTTCACTCAAATTCAAAGACTATATCCAACAGGAATCTCAGACATCCACACTATTCTATCTTGATCTGTCACAATGGGAACATTTTCAATCATGTCATACGTTTCTTATACAAATTGGCTACTGTATTAAGAAGCTTATGGGAGAGAATGTAGAGCAGGCTCTGTTAGATACGGAGGAAGCATTTTCCAGAGCTCCTTGACTATCATAAGAAGAAATAAAAAATGTAGTTGTAAAACTTATTAGGCATACACATCAGAAGTAATGAAGTAAAGGTTTACAAGTTAAAAACATTGAAGTTCTACATTACTTTCTAGGAGAAACAGTTGACACAACCCCTAATCTGGGACACACTTACCTGAAAACCAGCCATCTCTTCCTCCTCTTCTCCTACTCTGAAATTTATTTTCAGGTGATATTGTGTAGAACAATCAGAATTAAATCTTGAGACTGCCCTAAAAGGAGTCAACACAATTTCTCTTCCCTTGTTTCCACAACACTCACAAGCAGGAGGAACCTAAAATGCAGAAGAGCCACACTCACTTTTTCTTGCTCACAGTAAACAGTCAGCTATGATCAGCTCATTCATGGAAACCAAAATGGGAGGTTCTCCTGTCTTTTCTTCCGGTTACCTCCCCCTGCTACAGGTGCCAGGAGTTTTTGCAACACGAGTGGAAATATGGACCACACTGATTTGTCTCTACCAAACTCAATAGAGCAGAAACTGTGACTTCTATCTCAAACAAAAACTAAACTCAATTCTCATGAATGTATGCATGAGTCCTAATGATTGACCCTGCTATCAAATTAGAATTATTTTAGGGCACAATTAAAAACCACATGGGAATTCCCAAACAGCCCAACAGGCAGGTGATGGTGTTTCTTCAATCGAGCCAGGTTATCCTAATTGAAAGCCTGGGCTGAAAGGTAATTACCTTAAAATTGTCTCTGAAACATAAATGTGAATGTCAATCATGTGGCACTGTGGGCCTCACTCTAAGATATGTGGTCTGCTGGTGTGGAAGGGGTACATTCATTGAGTTCTTTGTCAGGTCCCCTTTTAGTGCTGATGTTGCTCAACCTAGATCCATTATTAGTAGCACTCAGGTAGAGACAGCAAGCACAGCATACATACTGCCTTTTGCCCAACACTCATCACAACTTACACTTAATTTCCAAAGTGAAGAGCAGCATAATGCAATGTCTACTCAGCATGTGCTATGTGCTCAGAAGTATGGTTTGTTGCACTGTGAAGAAGCCTTTACATTGTTTGATGTAATCCTTCTTATACCAGAAAGGATGAGTACTAAGTGTCCAATAATTTACAGAAAATTTTAGATGTGGTGCCAGACTTTCTATTCTTCTCACACAACTATACTATGACACTACACGAGATCTAGAAAATGGTTTACACTCACCCCAAATAGGTCCTTTCAAACTAAACTTACAGGTCCATGTTGATCTCTTACACTGAAGCATATGTCTCCCCTGAGATTTTGGTCCATCTACAGTCCAAAGTATGTCCCTGTTTTGCAAATTCCAGGTTGAGGCCATGTCTAGTTTGGATTGAACTTGTGCATTCTTTGCTTTTACAGACTACGAAGGAAAATAGGAAGATAAATTCCTTTTTGGAATGAGCTCTAATGCTTCCTGAGGACTCTCAGACTTTGATTCAGAGTTCAGAGCTGCAAATTTAGGTCTCTAGAGAGGCATGGATTCAGTAGCACTCACTGCACAGTTCCTGGCATTTGGGCAAAACAAAATGCAGAAATGGAGTTTATGTGTCCAACCCAGTGCACGTTATCTTGTTCCCATTTGTGTCTGAGCCCCATGGTCTCTGAGCCCATTTCAGCGCTAAAGATGTGAGATGCATTCAGAGAAAGGATAGAACTACTGATTTTTATCCTATGAGAGTGTATTCACAGGAATCTGGTCTAAGTATGCTCTGGAGGGACAGTAGACACCAAAGAGGCCCAGAGAACTTACTGTGTGCAGCTGTGGGGATAGTGAAGCTCTGTACTGCAGACTTGCAGGTTACAGACTGGAAGCTCAAGAAGGAATCTAATGTTCAAAGCCCTTCTAATTTAGGAGTGGTGGGCACATTTTATGTTTATGTTGCAGTTTTAATTCAGAAAAGTGTTCAGGAAATATTAATAGTAAATTGTATCCAACTAAAAAAACCACTCCACAAAGCTAAAAGAGAATTAAAAGAAACCCTTTTATTACTCATATCACAATGTGATGTGCACAGCGCCAATCCACTGAGAGATTGCAAAGGGACACATAAAGTCATTCCTGTATATAACTAAGCATATCCTAACTTTTGCATACATGTTATCTAGATAAATAATAATTAGCTTTGAATAAAGAGGTCTAGACAGCCCTATTTGTCCTAAACAGTGCACCATAAACTTGCTGGGTAATTAGTGAGACTCTCTTTTTTTGATAATTGGTTAAATTCAAATAAAAAACAAGCTTCTGACGTTAATGCAGGAGGAGATAATTTTGCAACTTAAAGCTAGGTGCTCACTGAAGTTTGGATCTCACCTTCACATGGAAATTGTGGGATAGGGAGCTATGTTCCTTGATATTTCATTTGAAAGTGATGTTTCTCAGTTTCAGAAAAAGTATTTCTTTAATAAAAACCTTTTAAAAATCTTTCAAAAGGATTTACAAATCTTAAGAAGATAGTATCTCTGGTCCTTCTTGGGACAATGGTGCCCGTTTTGGCGCTGTTTCCAGCAATTGCTCTAGCTGGGAAGATGGATAAGGCTGCCATTCCAATTTGGTGCTGCTCCACCCTTAATTCTACCCTGAGCCACTTTTACACCTGAGGAAGGAGGGAATGTTTTATCAGTATAGCGTTTCCCCAGCCAAGACATAATAAGATTTGCAAAGTGACCTAGGTTATCCTAAGGGTAACGAATATGTCATTACCTGTAATCTGCATTGCAGTTCGCCCTCCCCTGTGGGCTTTCTTAGAGGGAGCTCCTATAGTTTGATGAAACTTTCAAGACATCTGCTGATTATTTGATAAGAACCTATACCTCGAAGATACAAATTCTGATGAAATAAAATTAATGAGCAGGTTACAATTTTAAAGTAAAAAAAAATAAATACCACACAAGAGCCAGTCAATTCATGAGTGGATTATTAATATTTGGAATATGTTTACAATGAAATATTACTCAATTTTAAGAAAGGACAGTAAGCTAGCACTGCTTATATTTTTCTGAATTGAGTGAACCCATTATCCTAAGTGAACTGACACAAGATCAGAAGAACGGGCTCTATATGTACTTGCCATCAAATTGGTACTGACTGATTCACACTAAGGTGCTCAGATGGTGGTGGTGTTCCCCAGGGATTCAGGGCTTGGGTGGTAGACATCAAAGAAAAAAACACGACTGGTACCCTCTTTATTTACTGAAATACAAATAAATTTGGCTGACCTAATTTATATTCACAGCAACAATATGCAAGAGTTTCCTTTTCCCCACATCCTCACCAGCACTTAGTATTCAACATATTGAGAACAGGCATTTTCGCAGTTGTGAGGTAATAGCTCACTATGGCTTTAACTTTCATTTCCATGATGATTACATAGGTTGAACATTTTGACATATAGCTGTTGGACATTCATTTCTGTCTTTTGAGAAATGTCAATTAGTTTTATCACATCTGTCCCAAGTATGCCTACATAAAATCATTACACTGTGTCTGACATATACATATACAATTATTTGTCAATTCAAAACAAAAATATAGCAAAATAAATAACAATGACAAAATAAGATGATTGCACAGGAATAAGAAATGGATATTTGATATAGTACACAAATAAGCTACATTCCAAATATATTATATTTGAGTACAAATATAGAAATGAATGAAAGGAAGAAAATGACCAATTTACATATCAACTTTCAACACAGGATAATTTCTTATTGTCTATTTTTTATTTTTCTGT